GGGGGATTGTAGGCAAGATTTCTTATAATTCATACTTTGGTTCATATGTTTATAGATCTAGAGCCAAGGAGAGAAGTCGACCACGCAACAACAGGAAGCAATCAGTAGCAATAAAATGACAAATTGCGGTGCAACAAGGCAGCCAGGCAAGTACATGTATCTTTTTGATGATGAATGCTACGAGCGGGAAAACGCATTATGACTTGGTGAAAACCCAGACATTGGCAAATTATAGCCCGCTGGCTCAACCCGCGAGTTTTATCAATAATTAATTATTATAGATCTATTGAATGAGGGCTCGTTGTGAGTAGCTAAGTTATAAAAACAAAACTGTCCGTTCTGAACGATAAAATTAATTGTTTATGGCCCAGCTGGAAACAATATATATCTAATATTTTATCTCATGAAATGCTCTTGAGTGACATGTGCTTATGTCTACAGTGTCAGTTTTAGTCGCACTTTTGGGAGCTTGGGTATTTCAGCAGATTTCACCCCTAATTTTCTCTTGCTTTGGTCCGCAAGTTGGAATAGCTTAAACCGGCCGGCGACTTGGACAAGCTTGTCCATTCGTGCTGTGAACAATCCATCAACTCACCAGATAGCATTCTGTCCTGGGGTTTTTTTTTTCGAATTTTATAAAGACAACCACAGGCGCGGTTCGTCCATAGAGCACGGTCGTGCAGTGCCGCCCAAAATTTTTGAATGTTCTATGACGTAAACACCTTCAATAATAAAATAAAAGAAGCCAGAAACAAACCCTAGCCAAATATTATATCAAAACGAAGGTCCCCACTGGCGCCATAACTGTCATTTTTATGTCTATAGCGCCGTAAAACATCTACTATGCCATGCCAAAGTCCACGCGCTTTAGCTAAACAGAAAAGGATATTAAACAGTGTAACCTGACCTATAAATCGCTCTTGGGGATAAACCAAGCGATGACGACACTCGTAGCGAGTTTGGCGGTACATTAATATTAATATTAACAAGCCGGCACATCTCAAATGTGCTCCTACCGAATAGTGCCGAAACATAGCCAACAGTAGGCAGTCTAAAAATAAACACGATAGACCCTGCGCTCTTCTTTGCCAGTATTATGTGAGCCCCGGAGCAATCCAGCGGAGTGCTCAAGTGAATTGTGATTGGTTCATTGTTTGTCTTGCCACTATTTTAAGTGACTCTGTAGCCATAAACCTGAGGGAGGTGAACGTGATCGTCCTATGAGTTGTGCCTTTGAATGGTTTTGTAGTGGAGTAATGAAAGTTATTACATGTACTTGAGTGTTCAGTTTCAATACAGGATGAGCAAAATTGATGTTTAGCTAACAAACAAATTTAGTACTAGAAATCAAAGCGACAAGTAAAAAGAATGATAATAAAACCATGAGGCCCTCCCTCACCAACCCAAAGATCCTAAAATTATACACCGTCTCATTTACTATGCCCTTGACTATCTTCAGCATGCCATAGCTTAATTATTATTGTGGACGCCCACTTTTTAGCCCCACGAGCCGCCCCTGGACAACCATCATATACTCGACTAATACTATTTGACGAGATGGTAAAGCTCGTTCACTTTCGTCTGACCACGGTTAAAACGGGATGAAAACAAACCGCTCTGTTTAATCTTTCTGGGTCTTTGCATGTGGGGCTAAAAGTTAAGCGACCTACAGAATCTAAATGCCCATTCATAAAAGTCACTGCAAAATAAGATTTCGTCACGTTTTCTTTGATGTAAGCCGAAAGCGGGTCAAACAAATACATGTAATAGGGGACTTACACTACAGCATACACCTAAAACCTTGAAAGGTTGACATATTTTCCTCAACACCACTTTTCAACGTTCGCCTAAGAAACCCAATTCAAGAGACGGGGTGAGTATTTTCCGAGACTCACGTGGAGCACGTGGATTCGTTTAGACTGCCGGGGGATGAAATCTACAAGCTTACACTGGTGGGGACAGAGTGAAGTTGCTGTCTCGTAATAAGTAATTTATAGGCAAGGCTACTGTAAGGCATTCATTTTTGTGATCCTGTGTATGCATCCAAAGAGTGGTTTTTAATATAGGGCCCAAAGAGAAAAGCTTTTTTATTACAGGGTGAAGATTTTTCGAAAAAATATTTTTTTTGGTCGCTGTCTGCAGAAGTGCCATGCAAAGTTTCGAGGGCATAGGTAAATTCCTCAATTACTCAATGAGCTAGAATTTTTTAATGCGGTCAGACGAAAGTGAACATTCAGACTTCAACAAGTTAAGCACCACTTGCAAACACTCTGAGTGGTCTTCTTGGGTCGACCTGCACATGGGCGTTCTTGGACTGATCCAGAGGTTTGATGGCGCACCCTCAGGCGGACAATGACAAAGTGTGACACTGTAAGCCTTCTGGCAACTTCTCGGGCTCCAACTCCATCCTGCAGCCGTGCCATAGCCCTTGCACCATCATAGTCTCTCAGCTTTCGTCTTGGTGGCATGTTCATGCGATACTGGATTTTGAGCAAACACACGCACACACACACACACACACACACACACACACTCTATCTCACACACACACACACACACACACACAC